ATTTACCCAAGATTCTCTCTCTCTCTCTTACTTTAACATGGTATCAGAGCTAGGGCTATTTCCCTTTCAATAAAATTTTTAACGCTTTTGCGTTCTTTTGCCAAATCTTGGCCTTATTGCTTTGCAGCCGTTTAATGTTTTATTTTTTTTATTTTTATTTTTAATTATTTGGCGTTCATCTGCCAGATATTTTGGCCTTGTCGTTTTGCGGCCTCTTAACGCGTTTCGCGTTCTCGTTTAACCTTCGGGTTCTATTTTAAACCTTCGGGTTTCATTCTAACCTTCGGGTTCTATTTTAAACCTTCAGGTTTCATTCTAACCTTCGGGTTCTATTTTAAACCTTCGGGTTTCATTCTAACCTTCGGGTTCTATTTTAACGGCATTGTCGTTTCAAGACCGTCTCTCGGTCTCAAATTAACGGCATCGTCGTTTCAAGCCGTCTCTCGGCCTCAAACGAACGACATTAGTAACAGCATCTCGACATCTTAACGTCTCAAGATTGCTGTTATGGCTCCTTCAGAGAAGATTCCCAAACCACCTTTGCCCCTCAATGATCAAAGTGACTGGGCAGGGTGGTCCACCATTGTCACCAATGCCTTGCGTGGCGCTGGTTTGCTTGATCATCTCACCAGTACGGGACCAGTTCCACCGTCCATCAGCACTGTTGCTTCATCCAGTACTATTGCCTCTGGCAGTGGTGATGTCGATCTTCAGACTGCTCGTGCTCTCTATGTCAAGGAGAGTTCAGAGTGGCAATTGCAGGAATTTCGTGTTATGGATTATCTCACTCGCTGTGTTGGCTCTGGTCTCACTGTCGAGATTGGCTCGCTTCCCTCTGCTCAGGCCATGTGGACTCGTCTCACTGAGCGTTTCACTGAGTGCTCGGGTGCACGGGAGGCATATCTTCTGCAACGCATTTCTCTACAACGCAAAGGTAGTTCATCTCTGCAGTCCCATTTTGGACAAATGCAAGCTTTTTGGACAGAGTTACGCTCCATGCTTCCTGGACGTAATTCCACATATGAAGACTGGCTAGCCTGGTACGAACGGCATGAGGTGCATCAATTGTTTCAGTCCCTTCCTGAATATTCAACTATGGCTGATCAACTACTTCACCAGCCTCAATTTCCGACTTTGGCCTCAGTTATGGGAGCTCTCACTGCTTATGAGACCCGGCAGCAGACAGCACGACTCAATTTGTCAACAGACACTCCTACCTCTTCACTCGAGACTGTTTTGTCTGTACCTGTCACTGCTCCTGTTATGAATTATACTTCTCCACAGGCTCCCTCTCCACAGGCTCGATCTAAGCTCTCTTGCAAATATTGTAAGAAGGAAGGACACCGCATTGAGACATGCTTCAAGCTTCATCCTGAGTTACGTTCCTCAGGTACTGGACGTGGTCGGCGACCCCCTCAGTCTCAACCCTCTCGTACACCAGGATTGTTGGCCAATGCTATACCTTCTACTACTTCAGACTCTACTATTCAAGCTATTGAAAGTCTTCGCCGTCAACTTGATGCTTTTCAACATATCACCTCTACATCCGCCGCACAACTCTCTGGTATGCATTTTGCTGGTTCTTCAGCTAATCCTTCAGTCTCTGGTATGAATGATCTCTGGATTTTTGACTCTGGTTGTTCCTTTCATATGACTTGTAATGCCTCACTTTTATCCTCTGTCTTTACTTCATCCTCTCTTCCTCCTATCTACACAGCTGCTGGACAACCATTGTCCATTACTCAGTATGGCTCTATTACCCCACAAAATGATCCATCTGGTCGTCTAACACTTGGTCCCGTCTATGTGGCTCCACAATTGTGCTTGAATTTAATTTCTATTAGCTCTTTATGCATGGCGGGCCTGTTTGTCTCATTTTCTTCTGATACTTGTATTGTGCAGGATCCACAGACGGGCAAGACGGTTGGGGCGGGTCGTAGGAGGCACAAACTGTATTTTCTGGAATATCTTCACCTTCCAGAGTCCATACGTCCACGTTCTCTTGTTGCTTCTCTTTGTTCGTCAAAACCCTCTACCTCGCTTCCTGCCAATTTATGGCATAGACGACTTGGTCATGTGTGTAATAAAAGGCTGGAGAGTCTTATTCAGTCTGGAGTACTTGGTCCTGTATCATCTAGTTCTAGTATTGAGTCATGTGCTGGTTGCAAATTGGCTAAATTCACTGCTTTACCATTTAAAATGAGTACATCTGTATCCACTTCCTTATTTGATTTAGTACATTCTGATATTTGGGGGCCAGCTCCTTTGCCTTCTTCATCTGGCTACTTATATTATGTTAGTTTTATCGACGATTTCTCTCGTTTTACATGGGTTTACCTACTTAAGAATCGCTCTGACGTACTTACTGCTTATCAAGCCTTCACTGCTATGATTTTCACTCAATGGCAATCTCGTATTAAAGTTTTTCGTTCTGATTGTGCCAAAGAGTACCTATCCTCTGCCATGCGCTCTATCATGTCCTCTCATGGGACTATCTTTCAACAGTCATGTCCCTACACTCATGAGCAAAATGGTGTTGCTGAACGCAAACATCGTCATATCCTCGATACTGCCCGATCAATGCTCATTTCTTACTCTGTTCCTCGTCGTTTCTGGGCTGAGGCTATTCTCACCGCGACTCATGCCATTAATATCACTCCATCTAGCTCTCTTTCCGGTGCTACTCCTTATAGTCGTGTTTATACTCATCCTCCCCGTTATGATCTAGTTCGCGTTTTTGGTTGTCGATGTTTTGTTTTTCTGCCATCTCACGAACGTGATAAATTGTCTCCCAGAGCAGTTTCTTGTGTTTATTTAGGAATTAGTTCAGAACATCGAGGTTATCGTTGTTATGATCCCGCAACTCGTCGAGTTCATATATCTCGTCATGTTCAGTTCGAAGAGGATTCTCCATATTATTCTACTTCTGATGACTTTAATTTCCTCCACTCTACCGATCATGCTTCCCCGTCCACTGCATCACCCACTTCTTCACCTCAATTTTCCTTTCGAGATCTCCCTGACATCTCTCCCTCTCCTTCTGTTGACTCTTCCTCACCTGAGTCTTCTCTTACACCATCTAATCCATATCCTGTGGACACAACTCTCACTCCAGAAAATACTGTTGATCTTCATGCACCTGCGCCAGCATCTCCCCCGCCTGAGGTTCCTCTTGCTCTTCGTCGAGGCAAACGCCCACATGTCATGCCTGCCCGGTATGCTTCTGTTACTTCTTATTCACCTATCTTTCATAACTTTCTTGCTGCCATTCATACTATTGTTGAGCCAAAGTCCTTCCAAGAGGCAGTTCAAATTCCAGAGTGGCGACAAGCTATGGCTGAGGAATTTCAAGCATTTCAGCAAACTCATACCTGGGATATTGTTCCCTGTCCTCCTGGGATCTCTCTTGTTGGCAGTAAATGGGTTTATAAGGTCAAGTTTCGTCCTGATGGCACCATTGAACGTCGAAAAGCTCGTTTAGTGGCTAGAGGTTTTACTCAGCAACAAGGTATTGATTATGAGGAGACCTTTGCTCCTGTTGCTCAGATGCCCACTGTGCGTACTCTCCTTGCGGTCGCTGCTGCTCATCGTTGGCCCTTATACCAGATGGATGTCAAAAATGCTTTTCTTCATGGCTCTTTATCAGAGACCGTATATATGCAACCGCCTCCAGGGTCAAATATTCCTCCGGGACATGTATGTCTCCTTCGTCGTGCTGTTTATGGTCTCAAACAGGCACCCCGCGCTTGGTTTGAGTGTTTTCGCGATGTTGTGCTCAAAGCGGGCTTTATAGAAAGTCATCAAGATGCTTCTCTGTTTGTTCGCACTACATCGCGTGGCAGGGTTTTATTACTCATCTATGTAGATGATATGATCATTACAGGTGATGATATGACAGGTATACAATACGCAAAATCTCAGTTGCAACAACAGTTCCACATGAAGGATCTTGGATCTCTTCGGTATTTCCTTGGTCTAGAAATTTCTCAAGGCCCGCGGGGTGTATTACTGTCTCAACAGAAGTATCTCTCAGATATTCTAAATCAAGCTGAGTTAACTGATAATACAACTGTCGATACTCCACTCCAGCAGAATGTCAAACTTTGCTCTACTGACGGTGAGCCTCTATCTGATCCTACCCGATATCGACATCTTGTTGGTCAGTTGGTCTATTTGTGCATCTCTCGACCAGATATCTCTCATGCTGTTGGTATTGTCAGTCAATTTGTTAGTGCCCCACGTTCTGTACACTATGCTGTCTTATTACGGATTCTTCGGTACCTCCGGGGTACTAGCACTCGCTCACTTTTGTTTCCTGCTACATCTAAGTTAGAGCTTTGTGCATATTCTGATGCTGATTGGGCTGGTGATCCAACTACCAGAAAGTCTACCACAGGTTATTGTATATTTCTTGGTGATTCCCTTATTTCCTGGCGAAGTAAGAAACAAGATGTTATTGCTCTTTCCAGTACTGAGGCAGAGTATCGTGCAATGTCCACAACAGCTAAAGAGATTATTCATCTTCGTCGCCTTCTCAGTGATTTCGGTATTTCTGTTACGACTCCTACTCCTCTCTACTGTGATAATAAGAGTGCCATCCAGATTGCTAATAATCCAGTATTTCATGAAAGGACCAAACATATTGAGATCGACGCTCATTTTGTCCGTCACCAAGTTATCAAGGACAAGACAATTCTACTTCCTTATGTTTCATCCGCTGACGAGCTTGCAGATTTCTTCACAAAGGCCTTACCTGTTCATCGGTTCCAGTTTCTTGTACGCAAACTCACTTTGTTTGATCCAACATGAGTTTGAAGGGGGCTGTTGATAATAGTGTATTGTAGTGGGTTTTAGTCCCACATTGCTTGGGAGAACAAACCTCACACTCCTCTACTTGTATAAATATATGTGCACACTCAATATTCAATTCAAGGGAAATTTACCCAAGATTCTCTCTCTCTCTTACTTTAACATTTGCCCTTAGTAAACTTTGAATGTCATATCAGCAAGAGAGGTAAGCATTTACTTGAATGAAGTATTTTACAAATAGTATGAAAAAAGAATGTTTTTAACATAGCCAAAAACTTATCCACTTAGTTACATATTGAACAAAGAAGAAAAACTTATCATGTGCGAGATTACAAGCATGATTCATTCGACTCTGTTATGGAGTACTGCGAGAAAGCTCAAGCAGATACTTTGAAGGAATCGATGACAGTGTGCAATTTATCTTTCATCTTCCCCCACCGTCTTTCGTTAGCTCCTGTTGTCAATGTGTAGAACTTGCCTGCACGAGACGCCATCAAATATCAAAAGTTTATGCTACTGATCAATATATCGAAAAGGAAAACTTTCGGAAGTATTAAGTACGGTATAGCATCATTCACGTCCTTTATTACAGCACAGCTGTTTTAAGTACAAGGCACTTGGTTCATTTCTGAAAGTCCATCATATTATCTGATGAAACCTATCACATGATTTTAGTAACCGACAACAGTATGAAGATCTTTAAAAGTCCACCAAAAGAATAGTTTTCATAGTCCACATCAATAAATGGAAGCAATAAATGTAGAGAGAGCACATTCATCAGATTGCTAAATTTCAAAGTCCTCGTGGTTTAATTGGTGTTATACATCCCCAGTTTCTTCCTTCCTTTCTTTCTCTTTTTTTTAACATTCTTTTTCTTGTAGTATTCTCAATTTCATAATGTACTTCTTCTTGATATCTACCTAGAATTGAGCCCAACCATGAGATAAATATAGTAAAGCCATCTTTAAGTTAAATGAAAAGTTTTACTGCTCACTTTTGAAAATGTCCATGTTTACTGTTCACAAAAACCATCTTAACCACATGATTCTGAAAGCATTATATTCTCAAAATTTCTATGGCAACACAAAACTCTCAAATATGAAATCCCCCGAGATCTCCAATATGAGATGCAGTGAGAGTACGCAATAACATTAGAAAATCCATGTCATAACATGCTAGTACTTGTGCAATTAATTTTTCAGGAATTAATCTACATAGATGTTGGTAGAAGCAACAAAATATGAAGCCTGCCTTTGGATGAACCATTCTTTTAACAAGATTTATCATACCAACTTGCATTTAATTCTTTATAATATCGGATAAACATTTTGTTATAAATTCCAGGACATATCTTAAAGTTTTTCTGGTGATGCTTAAGTGAGCAACACATTTAGAGCTTCTCCCTGCACTTCTCTTTATATGAAGTTTTTGACTCAATTTCCCACATAGTAACACAATGATATATTTTCCATCAATGGTGATGAGATAAAACTTCGTATTCTAAGCAAAAGAGGTAAAGTATTCTAAGCAAAAGAGGTAAAGCCTGGGCAACACAGGGTAAGAAAAAGACATACCTAAGACTAGCCATAAGATTTACCTCCTTCACTCTGGTGCATATTCCGTTAGAAAGAACCTCATTCACTTGTAAGGCCTTTCTCGAATGATATAAAACTAAGAAAACCCATGATAATATATTTCTTCTCAAATTTTCAGACAACATAAATGACTATCCAAACATATATAATAAATGCTAGCATCAATTAAAATGGCTACTAATGAGTAATTGATAAAAACTAAACAAAACTATCACGTTCATACCATTCGCGATGCAGATTGTGCTAAGCGCATGTCTAGTGAAGTTTGGAGCCTGAGCAATAAACTCGAAAGAGTAATAAGATTTTCCATCAACTTCATGCTGGTTAAACAATAGAACAAGAAGTAAGTTACCATTTAAGAAAATTTCAATCCCAAATAATTAAGACAGAATGACACTATAAACTGAAACCGACATGTACATTCACTAAGTACACTTTGTGGGTTAAATGCCTATCTATAAGATAATCTATTCAAAAATATCTCTTTCAAGTTAACTGGTATCACATTTTAAATTATTTCAAATCATTCTCCCTGATGGAAAGTTATTGCATCTATAGTAAGCAACTACCTGCTACAGTAATCGCCAATCGCAAAACCACTAAATGTTATTGTAGCAATACCAAAGCAGCAGCGCGCCTACCTAAACTCACCTATATATAACTCTCACCAGTGTTAAGTTTAGATCATCCATCACAGTGTCTCCAATTAAGAGTGAAAAGAGAGAGAGAGAGAGAGAGAGAGAGAGAGAGAGAGAGAGAGAGAGAGAGAGAATTTCTCATTAAAAAGAGAGATTGTTAACTCCTAAATTTTCCTCATAGTGGATTTTTCTAATATTACCCGTGGTTTTTACCCTAAATTTATTAAGGGAGTTTTCACGTAAATTAGTGTGTTTATTTTATTACCTCTGCTCTACTATTCGCTAGGACCTTGCTCTATTGGGCCCTGGGTTAGTCCCAACAAGTGGTATCAGAGTCTGGCTTAAGTTGCGTGTATCTACTTATCATATGCTTTGTGGCTATTATCAAATGTAGATCCTCCACATCAGAAAATAAGTTAGATTATCATTCACCATTTAAAGACGATATGTACTATTCACAAATATGATTACTATTTACGAGTATGATTACTATTTATAAATACGATTACAATATATGTGAAATAGTAGAAGTTACTGTTCATGGTAGAAGCAATGGCGGCGCAGTTCGAGATTGAGAAATTCAACGGAAGTAATTTTTCACTGTAAAAGTTAAAGATAAAGGCTATCTTGAGAAAAGATAATTATCTAACGGCCATCGGTGCAAGGCTGGACGACATCATAGATGATAAGAAGTGAAATGAGATGGACGAAAATGCTAATATAAATCTCCATCTGACATTAGCAGATGGGGTGTTGTCGAGCATAGAAGAGAAGAAGACAGCAAATGAGATCTATAATACACTAACAAAGTTATATTGGGCCAAATCCCCGCACAATAAAATCTTCTTAAAAAAAACTTTACACTCTAAGGATGGCGGAATCTACATTGGTGACCAACCAAATCAACACCCTAAATACACTGTTCTCCCAACTCACAACGCTGGGACATACAATCGGTGTGAATGAACATGCAGTACTTCTATTTCAGAGTCTCCCTGACTCGTATGATCAGCTCATCATCAACCTAATAAACAATGTCCCCATGGACAATCTAATCTCGACAACGTTACAGTCGCTATTTTGGAGGAAGAAAACCGGTGCAAGAACAAAGAAGATAGGCATGCAAGTTCTCAACAAGCGGAGGCTTTATCGGTGACGAGAGGAAGATCAACGGAACGTGGCTCAAGTGAGTCATACTCATGGTAGATTAAAATTAAAAAAATAAGAAGAATATCAAATGTTATAACTGTGGCAATAGGGGAACATGAAATCAGAGTGTTAGCACAATAAGAAGAGTGGTGATAAAAAATCTTCAGAGCCATCAACATCTCAAAGATGCATTGCCAGCACATCAGACAATGGTGAAATTTTATACATGGGAGCAACCACTGTTAATGAAGGCAGAAAGAAGGTTGCTAATATCTGGTTTTTAGATTCAGCAACCTCCTAGCACATGACCTTCCGGAGAGAATTGTTCCACAAATATGAACCTATTTTCAGGAGGATTTGTATTTATGGGCAATGATCATGCCTTAGAAATTTCTGGTATTGGTATTGTTAAAATCAAAATATTTGATAGTATAATACACATCATTTGATGTACGACATGTGAAGGATTTGAAGAAGAATCTATTGTCTTTAGGACAATTAGATGAGCTCGGGTGCAACACCCATATAGAAAACGTGATCATGAAGATTGTTAAAGGGACGCTTATTGTGATAAAAGAAGAAAAGATAGCTATAAATCTATACATGCACAAGAGAGAAACCCTGCATGAAGCTGATTTATGTGTGGCATCAACTAGCCATGGAGAAGAACAAACCATGATGTGTCATCACAAACTAGGTCACATGTCAGAACTAGGCTTGAAGATTCTCTCCGATCAGAAGCTGCTTTCTGGACTTATTTCGATAGTTCTTCTATTTTGTGAGCATTGTGTTATAAGTAAGCAGCATCGGCTAAAGTTCAGCATATCGAGTTCTAGAAGCAATGCTATTCTAAAACTGGTTCATTCTGATGTATGACAAGCATCGATTACATCCATGAGAGGAGCAAAATATTTTGTGTTATTTATTAATGATCACTCCAGGAGATGTTGGGTGTATCCTATCAAGAAGAAGACGGATGTGTTATCAATCTTTAACGCCTACAAGGCGTGAGTCGAGCTTGAATTTGAAAAGAAGATCAAATACTTGAGGTAAGATAATGGAGGAGTATACACAGACGTGTGAATTTTTTGCATTCTGCAAGCAAGAGGCATCAAAAGACAATTCAGTACTGCTTATACTCCTCAACAAAATGAGTGGCGGCGCAGATAAACAGAACACTGTTGGAAAGAACAAGAACAATGTTGGCAACTGTAAATCTAGATAAAGTCTTTTTGGACAAAAACAGTAAAAACCTCCTGTTATATGGTAAATCAATCTCCATCAACTGCAATACAATTAAAGACGTTCATGAAAATGGGGACCGTCAAGCCAGCAGATTATTCCAACCTCCATATATTTGGAAGTCCAGTGTACGTAGTGTATAATGACCAAAAAATTACACAGCTAGATTTAAAATCCAGAAATACATATTTTTGGGGTATGCTAATAGAGTAAAGGGGTATCGCTTATGAGATCCCAATACCCGCAATGTTATCTTTAGCAGAGATGTTATCTTTGTAGAGAACCAACTACAAGACAACTATATTTTCTGAGTTCTTCCTTGAACAAGAACTAGTTGAGTTTGAGGCTCTAGAAATTCGAAGGTTAACTCGTGAGAGAAGAGCACTGACTTGACACTCGGAATATATTACGAAGAGTAATGTTGCATACTGTCTTCTAACAGAGGATGGAGAGCCATTAACTTTCCATAAAGCTATAAACAGCACCGATGTATCTTTATGAATGACAGTAATGCAGAAAAAAATTAAAGCTCTCTATAAGAATAGGACTTGGGTACTTGTGTCACTACCACAAGAAAAGAAGACTATTAAAAATAAATGGGTCTACAAGATCAAGCGAAATGGAGATGATCAAGTGGAGCGATATCGTGCTAGATTGGCAATAAAAGAATATGCTCAGAAAGAAGGTATTGACTTTAATAAAATATTTTCTCATGTACTTCGACTTACAACAATCCAAATAGTCCTGGGTATGAGCGCTATATTTAACTTACATCTAGAGCAGCTAGATGTGAAAATAGCATTTCTTTCAAAGAAATCTTGAAGAAGAAATTTATATGCTCCAACCAGAAGATTTCGAAGAAAAATGAAAAGAGAACTTGGTTACAGATTGAACAAATCTCTATACAGTCTAAAGCAGGCGTCGATGTGTTGGTACAAGAGATTTGATTCGTTCATCATGAGCTTTGGATACAACAGATTTAATTCAGACCCTTATATATATCTCAAGAGGTTTGGTAAAAATAACTTTGTTATCTTATTATTGTATGTTAACAACATGTTGGTTGTAGGCCCTAACAAAGATCGTATCAAAGAATTAAAGGCACAATTGGCTAAGAAATTTGAAATAAAAGATTTTAGGATCTACAAATAAGATTCTAGGGATGCAAATTTACCGAGACAGAATTAAGAGCAAGATTTGGCTTTCTCAAAAAAATTATTTGAAGAAAATTTTACGGTGTTTTAACATGTAAGATTGTAAGCCAATTTCTAACCCACTTCCTGTTAATTTTAAGTTATCCTCCAGTAGGAGTCCAAGCAGTGAAGAAGAGAGGATAAAAATGTCACGAGTACCATATGCATCAGCAGTGAAAAGTCTAATGTTCGCTATGATTTGTACAATACCAGATATTACACAAGCAGTGGGAGTGGTTAGTCGATACATGACGAATCCTGATAAAGAGCATTAGAATGCTATAAAGAGGATCCTAAGATACTTTAAGGAAACCTCAAATGTTGCATTATGCTGTGAGGGATCAGATTTTATTATGTTGATTCTGATTATGCAGGTGATCGTAATAATAGCAAATCCACCATAGGCTATGTATTTGCACTTGCTGGCGGAGCTGTAAGCTAAATTTCAAAACTGCAGTCAATTGTGGCTACTTCATTAACAGAAGTAAAATATGTAGCAGCTACACAAGCTAGTAAAGATGTGATATGGTTGAAGATGGTGCTGGAGAAACTCGAACATGAACAAAAGAAGATTTTTCTATTTTGTGATAGTCAGAATGCTTACATTTGGCAAGAAATCCGACCTTTCATTAAAAGACAAAACACATTTGAGTTCAATACCACTTCGTTCGTGAGAAAGTGGAAGAATGAACAGTGGATATGCAGAAAATTCACACTAAAGATAACCTAGCAGATTTTTGATAACAGCAATTAATACTGATAAATTTATTTGGTGTCGATCCTCTTGTGGTCTGTCGTAGACGCGAGTAACTTGAAGGTGACAAAATAGAAAGAATGATGTGAAGATATGATTGATACTCAATCAAATCTTCAAGAGAGAGATTGGTGAAAAATTACTATGTCTACAGTAAACACCTGTCCGCTACAGTAACTACCAAACGCAGATCAACTAAATATCACTGTAGCAACAGTGCGCACCTATCACAAACTCACATATATATAGCTCTCCCCAACGTTAAGTTTAGATCATCCCAGTGTCTCCAATTAAGAGTGAAAAGAAAGAGAGGGAAAGAGAGAGAGAAAAATAGAGAGTTTCTCCTTAAAAAGAGAAATTGTAACTCCTAAATTTTTCCACATAGTGGATTTTCCTATCATTGCCCATGGTTTTTACACCAAATTCATTTAGGGCGGTTTGTTGGATAGCAGGTTCCTAATATGTTTTCGAATTTGTTTTGGTAACAGATTATTGGAATTCCTAATCTGTTTTGGTAACATGATTCCAAATTTATTTTGGTAACAGGTTATTAGGATTTCTAATCTGTTTTGTTTTTTGTTTTAGAATTCCTAATATGTTTATGATTTTAGGATTTCTATATATATGGAACAATTGGAAGAGAGAATTGAGCTGAAAATTAGGGATATTTGGAGCATAGAAAAGAGGTATTTTCTGAGCTATTGGTTAGGGTTTTGTTTGGAGAGAATTAGAGATTTGTTGGTAAGATTAATTGGTGAGTTTAAGTGATTTGTAATCTTAGTTTGTACTCTTCTTCTCTATTAGTGAAAAACCCTATCTCCTTCTTGCCCCGTGGACGTAGGCAACTTGCCGAACCACGTTAAAATTGATTGTTTGTGTTTGTGGCATTGATTTGGTTTGTTTGGCCTTCTCTCGATGTTCGTTTGATTTGATTTCTCGTAGCATGTTGGTTTGGTTGCTTGCCTTACGCAGCGCTCAACAAGTAGTATCAGAGCTCGGCTACGCTTGGGCTATTTGGAGGAGTAGGTCGTTTTCGAGGCTCGCCTAAGGCTTCGTTTGGTGATAAATGTGTGATCTTTTTGGTAAAGACTATCTTTTTCAGTTTTGGATCTATTCTTCATTTGTTCTGTATTTGTTTTGATGATTTAAGAAAGATGATCGGGAAAGAAGGAGTTGTGGAGGGTACTTCCGGGGTGAAGACCGTCCAAAGTTTGAATATCCACTCTATAAAGATAGACGTGGAGAAGTTTAATGGCACAAACAATTTTGATCTTTGGAGATATGAAGTTTTGGATGCGCTTAATGTGTAAAATTTGGAAGATACTTTGGAGTTAGACAGGAAACCAGATGACATTGAGGAGAAGGTTTGGAAAAAGATGAATAGAATGACGTGTGATGTGATTAGATCTTGTTTGACTCAAGATTTAAAATATGATGTGATCAATGAGACTTCGGCTAAACTCAAGATTTAAAATATGATGTGATCAATGAGACTTCGGCTAAGAAGATTTGGGAGATCCTAGAGGGTAAGTATTTGAAATATGATGTGATCAATGAGACTTCGGCTAAGAAGATTTGGGAGATCCTAGAGGGTAAGTATTTGACCAATAGTGTAGAGAACAACTTGCATTTGAAGAAGAGGCTTTATCGCTTCCAATTAAAGAAGGGGACCTTCATTGGTGATCACATGAACCACTACACGAAGCTTCTTGCGGATTTAACATATGTAGATGTGATGATTGAAGATGAGGACAAAACGTTGTTGTTGTTGAGTTCCTTGCCCGACGAGGAATATGATACCTTCATTCTTACTCTTATTAATGGAAAGACATCTCTTTCTTATAGTGAGATCACCGCTGTACTTGTGAATTATCAGCTTCGAAAGAAGGATAAGGAAACTTCAGTTGAGTTGGTAGCGGGGACTTTGGTCGTAAGAGCAAAGAGTCCAAACCATGGTAGGAGGTCACAGTCTAGAGGGGCACATCTTGGAGTTCGTATGAATCAGTGTGCCTTTTGTAAAGAGAATGAACATTGAAAAACCGAATGCTCAAAGTTGGTTGATCGAACCGGGAAGAATAAGGGAAAAGTTATTCAAGCTTCAGAGATGAATGTTGTCAATGCTAATGGTAATAATTCAGATTCGAATTCTTCGGACTACTCTTTATCTGCACTATCGTCAGTTTGTGTTGCCGACTCTACAGAGTTGATGTTATATTTGAATGCTTCTTATCATATTTGCCCTAGAAGAGATTGGTTCTCCAGCTTTCGGGAGTTGGAAAGAGGAGAGGTCGTGCTTATGGGTAATGATCATGAATATCCTATTGGTGGTATCAGTACCTTTCGGATTAGGATGAGTGATCGAGTGATTCGGGAGTTGGTTGGAGTAAGGTTCGTTCCTCAGTTGAAGAAGAACATCATTTCACTTGGAGTTTTGAAGGCAGCAGACTATAGGGTGACATTGGTCGATTCACGTTTGAAGGTCACATTGGGATCCATGATTGTGATGAAAGACGTTAGGAGGAATAATTTATATTTTTGATTAGGAGCACGGTGTTTGATAGAGAGCTGACGACTTCTTTGGATTTGGCTAGACTGTGACATTTGTTGAGGCTGTGTTATTTGATTGGTTATGCCGTGCATAGTTTGTTGAGAAGTGCTTTGACCTGCAGATTGAAGTCCTTTGAGCACATTGGTATGAGCAAGAAGACCGAGGTAGAGTTTGACACTTCTATCCATCGATCGAGGGGTCTTTTAGGTGGTGTTCAGTCAGGCATTTGGGAGCCTTCCAAGGAGGCATCATTGAGAGGTAATCGGTATTTCAGTCAGGGATTGTTCTAGAAGTTAACAACAATTGAAAGAAGTGTATTGGCAGAAAGGTAACCCGTCGTTCTAGCTTTGGTAGGGGGTCCTTTCTTGTATTTGTGTCGAGCTCATGGCAGTTTGAGACACTTTATTGATGTGGAGACATTGAGACGACGAGATGAGATGACAGTTTTAATGGGTCATTCCTTACTGGAGGGGGATCGACATTGGTTGTCGAGCATTGGTTTTGGTTTTGGAGCTTCGACATATTTGGGTCATCTTGGTCATAGGTTGCCGACTGCTGCATGTGAAGATTTTGGATCTGATAGAGCTGCTTTAGATTTTGGGTTATGTCGGAATTTGGTTGCCCAGCATTTAGTCACATCGATGATGTGAGATTTGATCCGATTGCACGTTTAGGATTCAGAGGTTCGTTTGATTATCAGTTAGGAGCTTCTGATTTTGTTCTGAGCAGGTATGTCACATTTGACTCTCGACAGGTGGAGAGTGTTGATCAGATCATTGGGATATCGTATCGAGTGGAAAGTGATGTTACTTCACATTAGATGGAGATTGCTCCACATACTCCAGATCATACTGCATCGTTTGGGATTCTAGCTGAGTTGACACAGTTTAGAGATCATTTGGATTTGAATGCAGATGATGAGTTGGTTTTGGATTCGAGTGCAGTTAGTGGACATGATTTGAGTACGACCATTGGTTCACCTCAGGTGAAGGTGTTTGATTTATTTCAGTTTGGAGTCATTGGGAGCGCTATCAGTTACATATCCGTTGGTGATATTGGTGAAGAGTTGTAAACTTTTCTATTTGATTGAGGGCTCCAACAGTTACAGATCCATTGGTGATATTGGTGAAGAGTTACAAACTTTTCTATTTGACTGAAGGTCTTTGGAGGCCGTTTGGGTGAACTATGTGAAGACTTGATTTCTTGGGCAAGAGGATACGTAAGCAGTCATTTATGATGCAGCCAGTTTGGTGAATTGATACCGACATTTGGAGTTTGTTCGCATTCTCGTTTGGATTCTCGACTTGTTATGGATTGAGTCCGTTGTCGTGGATTTGTTTCACTTCGTACTGGACGCAACAAGTGATTCTCGACTTGTTATGGATTGAGTCCGTTGTCGTGGATTTGTTTCACTTCGTACTGGACGCAACAAGTGAGACGTTTGGTTGGTATTGGTGTCGCCGTTGTCGTGGATTTGTTTCACTTCGTACTGGACGCAACAAGTGAGACGTTTGGTTGGTATTGGTGTCGGCTGAGTTTTGGGAAAACTTCGCTGAGGTGGAGAATTATTGGATAGCAGGTTCCTAATATGTTTCCTAATTTACTTTGGTAACAAATTATTGGGATTCCTAATCTGTTTTGGTAACATGATTCCAAATCTGTTTTGGTAACAGGTTATTAGGGTTCCTAATCTGTTTTGTTTTTTGTTTTAGAATTCCTAATATGTTTATGCTTTTAGGATTTCTATATATATGGAACAATTGGAAGAGAGAATTAAGCTGAAAATTAGGGATATTTGGAGCACAGAAAAGATGTATTTTTTAAGCTATTGGTTAGGGTTTTGTTTGGAGAGAATTAGAGATTTGCTGGTGAGATTAATTGGTGAGTTTGAGTGATTTGTAATCTCAGTTTGTACTCTTCTTCTCTATTAGTGAAAAACCATATCCCCTCCTTGCCCCGTGGACGTAAGCAACTTGCCGAATCACGTTAAAATTGGTTGTTTGTGTTTGTGGCATTGATTTGGTTTGTTTGGCCTTCTCTCGATGTTCGTTTGATTTGATTTCTCGTAGCACGCTAGTTTGGTTGTTTGCCTTCCGCAACGCTCAACAGGTTTTTCACGTAAGTCAGTGTGTTCATTTTGTTACTTCTACTCTACTATTCGCGAGGACCTTTCTCTATTGGTCCCCGGTTTGTCCCAACACTCCCTACATATAAAAAAGGATACCTTGTTCATGTCCTCCTATTGCACAGTAACAGGAAATAGAGATCGTCACCATATATAGTTCACAATTTTTCCACAGAGAGTTGTGAACCTAGCAAGTAGCTCTTTAAGAAACAAAGAAGTCTTATCTAAATTCAGACAATGTAATATAGGACATACACTCTCTTTGGTTATCAAAATTTTATATGTTTGAAACACATATCCACATATTTCATGAAAATAGAGTAGTTGCATTGTAACTAAGTAATTAGATACCTGTAAGTGACAGAATATCTTTATCTCGATTGTGATCTAGTTTAAGAGAAAGTGACATGATAAAGTTGAAAGAACTAAAGATTCACACGAGATAATTGCCTTCTAACCTCTGATGCCTCAACCAACTTTGTTTTCTGGGTAGAAGGTGCCAGTACTTTCTTTATCAATGCTTCAGCAACCTACATTAACAAATAGCATGAGGTGAATTTACATTCACAGAGAAACTTTAAATGTTTGTGTTCATACCTCCTGTGGAGATCCCAGGTCTCGGATATCTTTCTTTTTAGTCTCAATCATGTTAACACTAACACTTTCTAAGGGCTCGATAACATCTTTAAATACTTTATCTTGTCCTTGGATGAAAACTTCCTGGGATTATTATTCGACATCTATAAGAAACTTTAAATGTTAGCTCAAGAAAATTGAGAGAAATACCTGCCAACCGAAGGGGTAGAGAAATGAGTATCCATCCTTCTTGTCTAAGACAACTTGAAATCCTTTCTTTCCCTCTGCTGCAACTGATGCATATCAAGTGGGTTCTGTTAAGAAACTATCAATATCATGCAGCCAACTCACTTTGCAATTATTTGAAGGGCAGTTTGTAGAAATACTCACACGCTTTCGAATTGAACGGAAAGATAGATACACAAGTAGCAATTGCTCCAGATATAAATGCTTGGCGCCTCCCAGTTCTCTCTGCAAGACAAATGATAACAAATAAAACCACTTTAAATAATTTCTGCTCACATTGTCAGCTATAACGATTCGTGAGTGAAAGTGCAAAGGTCACTTACACTGCAACAAAACTTTGAAATCATGATAAGGGCTAAAGCTTACGATTTTACACTTTTAACACGTCTCTATAGGTTGAGCGCCTTTTTCATGGGTCAAATTTGGACTCATGCAGTTGTATTCTATTAACCTGCTTAAAATCTTGCTGGTGAAATTTGACGCAAGGTTGTTTCGATATCATGTAATAGGTTCCTTCCACTACACCAAAACTCCAAAGCATCCTAATTTATGGGACGAAATCTAGACTCATGCAATGACATCTGTTTTTATAAATCCGCTCCAAATACATTGCTAGTGGGATTTGGATATGGATTGTTCTGATACTATGTTAAAATGTCCTTCTACTACATCGAAACTCTAAAGTTACAGTGACAGTTAAAAGGTTGTAATTTTTTATTCTGACATACTTCAACAGGCTGAGCACCCTATTTTACGGGCTGAAACTTAAGACTCACACATACCTATTTCCTTGTAAAATTCGTTTTATATTCGTGGCCGATAAAATTTGAACTTGAACTTTTACCTAACAGTAAACTATTACATTCCCAATAAAAATCACTGGAAATAAGAATAAACATATCATACAGCCTACTGAAGGTCATTGCATGTTTCAATCCATATTCGAAGCATTGAAGCTAAAAGGGAAGGGTTAATTATAGAAAAGCCCCATGAACTAAGAGGGAGTTGTAGTAAACCCCCACCAACCGTTTCTTATTACACTAAACCCCCATGAATTTTTAAGGAGTTGCACATAGCCCCATTAACAATTTTATTTCACTAAATCTTACCGAGAAATTTATCTTTTAATCCTTGTATTAGCACCATCAACTCTCACGTGTTACTAGCAAGCACATAACAAAAAAAGAAAGACGAAAATTTTCTTCCAAGTCCCAAGAAAAATACTCTTTTATTAAAAATAAAAAGTTTATGAGAGTGCATAGTAAAAGAAAAAGTAGGTAATTTCTTGGGACCAAGGAATTTTTTTTTGGCGCATACTTGCCTCATAAGATGAGATGTTAGGAATCCATGGTGCTAATTTGGAGATTAAAAGATAAATTTTCTAATAAATAAAATAGTTCAGAGGGTCTAGTGTAATAAAAAAGTTGACGAGGGCTTACCGCAACTCTCCAAAAGTCCACGGAGGGTTTTACGGCAATTGCTTAGGGGGTTCGCTTCGCATTTCACACCGTGCTCAAGGGACGGCAAAGCTTCCGAAGCAGCAGCCTTGGCTTGAAATTGAACAGCCCTCTTCCGCCCGTGGCCGAGAAAAGGAGCAGGCCCCTGCGGAGAGTAGCTAGCTATGAACAAAACTTGAAACGATGCGTATTTGATCGAACGGGAGTTTTATCGCACGCTGAACCTGATGAGGTGAAGCACTGGAGGAGAGGGCTCTGTGCAGTGATGCAGGGGAGTTCTGGAGCGAGGTCGCCATTGTCGAGGCAATCGGGATTCAAGAACTGCTCTGCTGTCGGCTTTAGAGGGTTTTTGGGTCGTGAATCTGTGAATATGATGACGTGTTCATGTACCGTTGGAAGAGAAGAGGCTGCTGCCTTATCTCTTTTCATGGTGTTGGATATCCGCTTGAATAAACCCCGAGTTATCTCACTTTCTACTTGATTACGGGCTCTGGGCTCAGCCCAGTGGACAGTGGAGGAGTTCGCTTTTGGAATTTTGGGACTGGACCCTAGCAATCTTATATTTAAGAATCAGTCCATTAGGTCATTAATATTGCTATCACTTCTCTC